CAGCCGTCAGATTCTGTCGAACTAGTCTAGGCCTTGGAATCGTCCGGGGACTAGCAGCATTACAATCCGGCTTAGTTACCATCACACATCAACATTTCATTGATTCCTTACATATCAAGAGATCAGGGTCGTGGCAAGAGTTTGACAGTTCCTACAAGGAAACATCCGGAGCCCTCTCCGTGGTCCGGCAAATTCGAATGCTTGCCGAATGAGGCAATATACGATCATTGTCTGTCTGGCGGCTAAGTAGTTTCGGCCTCTTCGTCTTGGCTTAACTGACTTTATTATAATACTTAGCTAGAGACACACTCAAGGCGTATCATAACCTCTGGGTCACACTTGATCAAAGAAAATGCCCAAAGCATACCATAAGAAGGGCCGAATATGTTGAAGCATGGTTTACGGAAAAAAGGAAGACAGGAACGAAGAAAATTGTATTTCTTCCTAACTGAGGGGGGGACCAAAATTCATAGAGCCTCAATCACAACTTCTGCTCTTTCAAGACCCTTTGCCTCTGCAGCGACCACGATCTTGCCAGGTGAACTTGCTCGAACAATTGCAAGAGCAAGGCCATTGAACAGCTTCCGTTCACGAGAAGGAAACTCCACAAAGTCGGCCTGGAATCCGTTATCTGTTGCGATGATCTCACCAGGACCAGAAACCGAAAAACTAACGGTGTCATTCGCCTCGGGGACCCTTCTACCTTGTTCATCAAGGACACTGACTGTAATCCATGTAAGATCCTCCCCATTGGCCTCAATCTTCACAAATTCTGGACTCAGATCAAGTTTAACACCATCAGATGTTGTCGACACTGTCTCATTCGCCCAGAATTCGCCGTCCTTGTAAGTTGTTACGTGCAGTTGGCCAGGCTCATATGTGACATTATCCCAACGGAAACGGTACTCGAACTCTCTCTGTTCTATCTTTCCCTGGGATCTACCATTCACAAAGAGTTCAGCTTCGTCCGCCGAAGTGAAAACATGCACCGGGGTTATTTCACCTTCACGACCGGGCCAAGTCCAATGAGGAAGGATATGAGCCATTCTCACTGTAGGGTTCCAACGAGATTGATATAACCAGAAGCGCTCTTTCTTGAAGCCTGCAAGATCAATCATGCCTGAGTAGGCACTTCTGGACTGAGGCCAAGGATATGGCTCTCCTAGATAGTCCCACCCGGACCATAAGAAGCCGCCAGCAAGATAGGGGAGTTGATCCTGGACTGTAAACACGATGTCGTGGGAAACACTCCAATTCGAAGAGTATAGTTCGTAACCGGAAATTTCCAGAGTGTTCACGTCACCACCAGAGTGGTCTAGAACCGGCGCTCCGTCATACTCAGTAACGGGGAAAATAAACGAAGAACGGCTACTAAGCGACCAGGCGAACTCGCTACCAAAGAGAAGTTTATCCGGGAAAGCTTCATGGAAGGACTCATACAATGGCTGGCGTCGTGGTTCGGGCAAGACGGAGTAACCTGGATACTCCATGCCCTCGCCAATATAATTCAGACCAAGCACGTCGAGGGCTTGGGGGAACTTGTGGGATGCAGTAGCAGAGTTCAGAGAGGCCATGATTGGTCGAGTGTCGTCCTCTTCATGTAGGATTCTCGATAACTCCGTTGCAATATCGAAACCACTTGAGCCTCCTTGTTCTCCGACTTCGTTGCCAATGCTCCACATGATAATTGAAGCGTGATTTCGATCTCTTCGAACAAAGCTCTTAACATCGGGTTCGTGCCAATCGGTAAAGATCAAGCTAAAGTCGGCAATATTCTTATCGTAGTTCCAGACATCAAAGATTTCATCTATCACCATAAAGCCTAAGCGGTCTGTGAGTTGGAGCAGTTCGGGCGCTGGAGGGTTATGTGCCATTCTGATTGCATTGACACCAGCTTCTCGAAGAAGATGCAATTGCCTTTCGGCAGCTTTATGATTATAAGCGGCCCCCAAGGCCCCAAGGTCGTGGTGTTGATTTACGCCCTGGAAGCGCAGACGTTCTCCGTTGATGCTGAATCCATCACCACCGAAAGTGAGTGTACGAATTCCAAACTGCGTCTCGTATGTATCCACAACCTTTCCATTTTGAATAATTGTTGTCAAAGCAAGGTACAAATTTGGAGATTGATTTGGAGGTGGGCCCCATAATCGCGGGTTTTGAAGGGTTGTAGAGGTTGAAATAGACTCTTGCCCATGCGCGGGAAGCACCACTGAAGAGGATGGAAAGCCAGCCACTCGTTGTGCCGGGCTGCCGTTTGCAGAATCTATTTCAAAGATCTCCGTTTGAACAGTCACATTGCTCTGTTTCTCTGCATTGTTCTCCAGGTTGACGACGAATTTGATTGACGCTGAATCTCCATCAACCTCCGAAGTAATATACGTGCCCCAACGGGCCACGTGCACTGATTTGACCTTGGTAAGCCACACATTTCTGTAAAGCCCAGCACCTGTATACCATCGCCCAGAATCTGGAGGATTATCAATTCGGATGGCTAATTGATTATCGCCCACCTTCAAATGGGAAGTTATGTCGAGATGATATGAGTTGTATCCGTAGGGCCAGCCGCCGATAATCTTGCCATTAATCCATACCGCGGAGTATGACATTGCGCCATCGATTTCAAGATAAATGGATTTCCCAACATCTGCGGGTGAGAGCGATAGCTTTCTTCGGTACCATCCCACGCCATGGAGCGGTAGCGAGCCCATCTGGCCAGTAACTGGGGACTCATCACCGTTTGTGTAGAAGGGACCTTTGATAGCCCAGTCGTGAGGAACTTTCACATCCTCCCAGCCCCCGTCGTCGAATAAATCTTTGACATAGGGGATATCTATATCAGGTTCTTCGGTCGGCACTTCGTGCCTGTCTTCAGCGTTTCGGATGAACTCGTTTGCCGTTGGAAGAATCCAAGGCTTCAAGACAAAGAGCCCCGACTCGTTTGCATATGGTCGAGGCTCGTATACCAAATTGTCTGGCCTGGACTCAGAACGCCAGAATTTCCAGCCTGTGTGAAGTCTGATACGTTCGCGTGGGGAGTCAGGTTGATTTCCATCAGTCTGTAAAGCTATTGCTGAGCACAGATTGCACTGCATCACCATAAACAACCAGGTCAGCACGGCTAGGACATTGCTGTCCTGGCGGCTTCGAGATCGAAGACGCATCCTTTATGGCGAGTAGGATTTTATTTTACAAAAGAAAAGAAAAAGAATGTCTGGGGAGTAAGAAACCGTCTGCCAGAATTGGGACCTCAGATGTTTTCTTAAAGAAGAGCTCTCAAGAACCAAAACTGGTCTCTGCCTATTGTTGAACGCAAAGTGAAGATTCTAAGTGCCGCAGAAGATGATTTGCAATGTGAAAACAAATCAACCGCAGATCCATCGTCATTGTGAGCGTCTCATCGCTACCCCTCCGCCCAAGACTTCGGCAAAATCCTTTATAACCACAACCCGAGAACCCTCCTCACCGCAATGAGACATTTTTATACATCCGCACCAATACTGGCTGCGTGTTTTGGCTGAGGGTAAACGACCCGTAGCTCACTATTTAGCCATCACTCACCCCCTGTCGTGCTAAGGATTTTTGAATTCTTCCGTAAAGATCGCCACATTATGTTACAGCGACTGTCAAAGGACGCAACTACCCGTTGACAGATCACCATAACAAGTGGTCCCTGCAATTGATTTCGGGAATATTAAACCCGAATCAGTGTAGTTTGATCATCTCCACACGACCATTCGTACTAAGTGAGAGAGCTTTGTAGTTCAGCAGTCACTCAAATGCGAACGAGGGAGCTTCCCATATCCTTCTTCACGCCAGGCTACGATAGCCTGAAGCGCAATGAAAGATGAAGGAATACATAAAATTTGATGCGATAATCAGATGAGTTCCAAAAATTCCCCTTCTATTAGAAATAAAAGGGAGCTAGTCTGGGATGGTCAAGGACCGGGACGCGACTAGCAGTTCCTCTCTCAGCTTTCGCATCAAGGAGCAGGAAACAGCCCAAGCACACGGATGGATAAAAAGGAAAGATCAACATTAGGAAGTAGGGGGAAATGCCGGAATTTATAGATTTTCGATCCGCCCATTGCTGTTGGGATAGAACCATTCGGGCACCCAAGGATAGAACTGAGTTCGCCCCAATGTGATTCATGGTTGGTCCAACTTTAGGCATCAGCTTTAGACTCAGCCTTATTCTGTCTGCCTGCCAGGCAGCCAGCTGCCGAAGAAGTTCTGGCGCATTTAATACGCCATTATTAAAATGGGATTACATAAGATGACTCAGAACGGCCACCCTAGGCCATTGATAACATTCGTTTGGTAAGATTGTAAGCAGCTGTGGTTTCTTTCGTCGCGGCATCGAGGGTCTCAAGGGCCCATTCTTTGTCTTCTATATAATCTACATAAAGTAAATCACGGCCGCGAGGTAATTTCTTGACTGCAACTTCGAATTTAAGGCTACGGGGCGAATTCTGTATCAAGCTTTCACTATGACTGATTTATTTGAATTTATTTCAACGTGGCAAAGTGTACGTAGTTCCAAAAATAAATCCTTCCCGCTGTTCTGGTTGACGTATTTTTCTCTTGTATGTAGCTCACATGGGATTTGAATTAATGATCACCACCTCCCAGATAATCTACATTTGATAGCATTTTGTGGTTTGTGAAAGACATAAATGGCCGGGATAAGCCAAAAAGCTACGAGGCAATATCCTTTTGGGCAACATGCAAGTTGGCCATCTGACGCGTTTGTAAAGTTTAACTACGGGATAAAAGAAACTAGAACACGAAGAGACATCTCAAGAGCTAAATAGAAGGCTCGTGCCACAAAGTCAAAAGCTCGGTTGCAGTCACGAATTTAAGATAAAGTTGGGAGAGGGCCAGGCTAGAATAATGCCCCAAAATCCTGATGCCTCCGCTTCAGTACTTGGGTTCTTCAAAAACACTTGATAGTTTGACAGGGTTATGTCTAGATATGTCTGGTAAGTCCCTATATTATATTCCTAGGTTCCAGAATTGAACAGATATCTGCCTAGGTCCGTTAAGCCTTCCATATCATCTCCAACGAAAGATCCTTGCCCGTTGTTGTAAAGAGCGTAATATTGCCTGTAGGCATCTTCTGTAAGTGGATTATTTACTGACTCCCTGGGCACTGAGGTAATGCCTTCAGGGTCCGGTCGAAGGGTCCAAATGTTTGCGATTTCATCCCATAGATTATTATCTAGTGTCGCCATGTTTATCACGTTTGCGTCGTTGGTCGCATTGCCAGCAAGGTTTTCCCCAGCGTCCGGTTGTTGTAATGATACAGTTTCCCACGGTGGAGGGTAACTGCTATGTTCGTAGTTGTTTGCAGGGTTACCTGTGGCGAATTCAGGCCTGTGGTCCAACTCAGACGCCGTATTGTGGCTATTTGTTTCCGCACGAGCCCTTTGGAGGAAAGCTCTTGTCAGCTCCCAAAGTCTTCTCGCCTCCTGGAGCCGCTGCAAGGCGAAAATATTGCCCTTGTCCGCCAAGAATTGAAGCACATCAAGCGCATCATTAAGTCCGGGCGTTGGATGTAAGCGGTCTTCATCTGGGCATACAGAGTTATATAGTGCCATGAGGATCATGACAGTAGCAGCTGAGACTGCTGATTCTAGGTCAAAAAAGCCAAAAATAACTTCAATAGTATCTAGTCAGTTCTCAAACCAATCTATGGAGGGTCATATGAGGCGCATACCTAGCATATTCTTGCTTTTCAATACGATAATGGCCTTCAGCATCCGTCGAGCGGCCTCGATGCAAGTTTCAGTGAGCTTCCCAAGAGGTGTCCTGGACAATTCTTCTTCAGACGATATATTGCCTTCCAGTATTAGCTGAGTAACGTGTAACATGATCGGGCGTATTGTCAAAAGTGTCGCCTAACTTTACACTGTTAAAAAGCTGTCCAGACTGGTTTCAGATGGAAAGGGTTCACTTCGCACCTGATATAGCATTAAATGCAGCATGGCAGTTGTCCTCAGAGAGAGGTCTGACCCGGAATTTCGCATGCTGGTGTCAAGTTCCGACGGTATGTTCTGTGATATATCGTATAGCGTCTGCACAATATCCTGGACGTTTGACACGAACGTCTGTTCATTTTCCGCTTCCCTTCCATATAAATCTGGCGAGTGGTTAAGCTTTGTACCAAAGCCGATATTTCCGAGTATAACGCACCACTGATGATTCTTCCCACAACTCTGCCAATCTTGATATTCGTGCACAGGGGCGCTGCAGGGCTAAATCCTGGTGCGTCTTTTGGTAGCGGCAATTCGATCGCTTCATCATTGATACCTGATGGGTTACCAGTCGCAGCTGCTAGGCGCCTGGTAATATATTAGTCAAGCAATAAGACCGAACTAACTTGGAATCAATCACCTCTCTTGCATATACACGGTCCACCAGAGCCGGTTAAGCCTGACCCTCTCGGACTGGGAAAACTTGTCTAATCGAGACTCGCGATGGAAACCATGAGATACAGCCAACCTCAATGCAGTGCTTATCTATTGTAAGCTGTCAGCGAGCTGATTTCACGTAAAGAACTCGCAATCCATGGACACACGTATATGTAAGCTTCCTCTCGCCTATTCGAATTTTGCATATACACCGCAACCAGCGCAGTCACTTCAACGCCAAGCCTCCCGAGATTGTACAGTTCTCCCAATGTCGGAAAGTTGCGAAGAATAAAGTCGAATAATTCGGTGCCAGGTATTTCGCCACTCGTGTCAATTTCCCCGACGAATAATTTGCCAATGGCCAAAACCAGAAGAGCGGCTAGCATCTCAGGCTTCGCCAGTTCATCAGGGCCCAGGACACTCTCTGAAAGGCAAGATATTCTATCAAGAAGCTCTCGAGCATCGAAATGACATTGCGCCTGACCGATATAAAACGTGACCGCTTCAAGAAGATAGAGGGCATTTTGAGGAGTCGGCAATCTCGGTATTCTGATATGTTCTACTCTTCCGGATCCTCGAGTAGCGGCGTTGTTTAATAATGGGGCAGATCGCACAGGATTGACCCTCGATGGTCCTAAAGGTTCGTCGGCTCTGGCATGATCCAAGAGTGTATGGATCCTCGATCCGAAAGTGTGACTGGAGCTCAACGAGGAGTCGGATGCTATTTCTGGTAATGATATTAGACTTTGACAAGGACGATATCACCCATGTAGGCAGTAGCTTACTTGACCTCTGCGTATGTGTACCGGTAGAATTTACCGTGCTTGGGGTGTCAACTGGAGGACCAGGCACGATAGGGGTTGCGGGAACAGCCCCCAAACCACTTCGCGCCAGTCTCTCGTGGTCTTGAGCTGGTGATGCAAATTCGGGTATGTTTTGAACTGGGCTCGCCACTAGAACTTGGCTATCTGCTGAATGGGCTGAGAGGTATTTAGTAAATGCAAAACTGAATATAATTTGCAGAAAATTACCCTCGTTTGAAAAAGCCAGTGCTCTATCGGGTCGCTCGTATCTAGCGAGACGAGCTTGAAGTTCCTCGATTTGACTAATTCCTGTGAGCTAAGACTGCCAGACGAGGTATTACTGGTTGACTGACGTGTCTGAATATATGCCCCTTGATCCGGTAGTGCGAGGGACACACTTTATTCCGCGCTTCTGACAATACTGACATGGGATTGCACCAGAACACTTCACCTTTTTCTTTCGGCATGTGGCACACCTGCATGCAATTAACGTTATGAATAAGATACTCGGCGATTCAGCCGGCAGAAAGCCATCACGTACGCGAGAGGTGTTTTAGCGATATTACTTGCCGGCCGACTACCAGTCCGCGGAGTCTGCGCCGAGCGAGCATCCCGCGCTGGTGAGGGCCGTGAGGCTGTGCGCTCTGCAGGCATCTGAGTTCGGATCTCGGAAGGAATCAATATGGACGTATGGAAGCTCCGAAATGATCGGTATCAAGGAGGTCATATGGTTTGAGTTCGTTCGGAGCCTCGGAAGTCAGATGATCTCCTCGGAGCAACCTCCGAAGCCGGCCAGATACCGGATGTTAGCCTATCTCGAGCTAATCGTCCTCCAATCCACAGGCGTATCGTAATTTAGCTTTATTCTTGCTAGTTTAGTTTAGTTATCATTAGTTCCCCTCCTCTACCTCTCTTCGAGAATACAGGGAGCCATTTGCCAGCGGGACAAACTGCAGTCTGCCTGTACCATTGCCATCGCGTACCCCTGAGGCGGATCCGTTGATACGATTCTCACTAGAGCCATATCCTCCTCCGCCTGGTGTGTGGATCTGGATTCTGTCTCCGGCCTTCACACGGCAAGTTGCCTTCGCTCCCATGTTGATCACACGCCCATCAGCGCGTAGCAAGAGGTTTTCGCCTCGACCACCAGGTTGGCCACCTGCCATGGGGTACGGCTGGAAGACGCGTCGCTCCGAAAGAATACCTGCTGTCATATCGATGAGGAACTCCAGCTCTCGCACAATACCCTCTCCTCCCCGATACATTCCTCCACCTCCACTCCCCTTCCGAAGTGCAAATTGCCTCAACAGGACCGGATATCTCCTCTCCATGATCTCAGGGTCCGTTGCACGGGTGTTGGTCATGTGGCAATGGACGCCGTCCTCGCCCTCCCATGAAGGACCTGCGCCGCTGCCTCCGCCAATTGTCTCGTAGTACCCAAACCCATCGGCTGTCGCTAACCCGAATGTGAAGTTTGTCATGCAACCATTGCTCGCTGCGCAAATCTCAAGCGCCTTCAAGATGGTGTCTACTAGACGCTGGTTCGTCAGACCATTGCCACCAGCGACGGCGGCAGATTTTGATGGACTGAGGAAAGAGTTCTCCGGAATGATCAAGTTCACTGGAAGAATGCATCCTTGATTCAGCGGGATGTCTGCATTAACGAGACAGCGTAGTGTATAGATCGTAGCCGAGTTGCAAACAGCTATCGGGGCATTCCAGTTTCCTAGTCGTTCAGGTATTGTTAGTAAATTTGATCTTTTCCGTAAATGCTTATTGAAAGGTTTGGCTTACCGTTTGTTTGAGGGCTAGTTCCGTTAAAGTCGAAATCTGAGTTTCCACTCTCAGGATCGATTGTGATCTTCAGTTTGATACGGGAGCCGTCATCCATAAAATCTTCAGCTTCAAAAACGTTGCTTCCCTTATCTTTACAAATCTTCTTGAGCGTCTCTCTCACGGCATTACTAGATGCACTTTGGACCTCGTTCATGTAGAGCTATTATCAGTTAGTCAATATCTCACTGGGCTTGAAGTAAAAGAGTCTTACGATGACGGATTCCAGTCCAAACTCCCGAATAAGAGAGGTGATCAGGTTCACTCCCTTCTGATTAGCTGCTGCTTGGGCCTTGATGTCGGTGATGTTGTCCTGTATGCATCGGGCACCCTGGCATCCGGGGAATCTCGCGGGGGCATATAGCATAGCCTCGAGGACTCGCTCTTCTTGGAAGACACCATCTTCGACCACCTTCATGGCATCAATGACTGCACCTTCCTCCCAGAGCTCGGTGGAGTTCGCTGGCATAGAACCGGGTACAATTCCTCCAACATCAGCATGGTGGCCGCGTGATGCTGTCCAGAAGAGAACTTTCTCTCCCGCTTCGTCGAACACGGGAGTTATGACGGTTAGATCAGGGAGATGCACACCTCCGGCGTAAGGTGCATTAGTGAGAAATACGTCGCCCTTTTTAATGTTGTTCTTCCAGTGATCGATTTGCCACTTAACTGAGAATGCCATACTTCCCAGCATTGCGGGCACATGGGGCGCGTTGGCAACGAGCCCGCCATCCGCCGAGAAGATGGCGCAGCTGAAGTCTAGCCGCTCTTTGATGTTTGTACTGACTGATGTTTTTTGAAGAGATTTTCCCATTTGCTCGGCAATACCCATGAAGCGGTTGGCGAACACTGAAAGCTGGATGGGGTCGATGGTAGCTTTGGCATCCGTATCCGCCAGCACAGGGTCAACGTCAATAACGAGCATCGACGACAGGACCGTTGCTGTAGAGACCGGAGACACGACGATTGTCTGTGTCTTATCAATGACCATCGCAGGACCAGCTATCTTCTCACCCACTGAGAGATCGTCTAAAAGATAGAGCGGAGCATCAACGAAGCCCAACTTCTCGAAGAACATCCGTGTAGTTTTGGTGGAACTTGCCCAACTCGTCGCCTTGACCGTATCTAGCTCTCGGAGACCAACCTTGTCCTCTTCAGTCGTCTTTGCTGTCGTCCTGACTCTCAAATCATCTACCAGGATATCTCGCCCTGAAGGCGTGAAGCCAAATTCTTGGTAATGAGTGCTCACGAACCTACCCTCGAAGTCCCAGCTGTCCTCGGGCTTTTCGATCATAAGGGAAGTGTCGCTTCCATCATATCTCAGGTTCAAAAAGAATGAAGAACTTGTCTTTCCACATGTTGGGTCTATTTGCCTCAACGAAGAAACGGTTTTGCCTCTGAGCTGCTCGAGTAATGTCTTGGCTCGCTCCAACGACGACGTAGATAGAACTTCCGCAAACGGGAGTCGCTCTTCCTGAATTGTTTCTGCCAAAGCCATTCCATAAGCCGACAGGACTGACGAATACTTGTGAAGGATAACACGTTTGATCTTGAGTGCCCTGGCGATCTCGCATCCGTGTTGACCACCGGCTCCTCCGAATGCCGCAAGATTGTGGTCAGCAGTGTTATGCCCTCGAGCTTCTGTTAACGCACGGATCGGGCGACACATGGCCTCGTTGGCAACCGTAATGAAACCGCTGGCGATTTCTTCGACGGAAAAGCTGTTTCCCTGGTCCTTGTTGATAACTTCCATCAATTCCCTCATCCGTTCGTAGGAGGCGTTGACGTCAAGTGGCTGGTCTTGCGTCTCACCAAAGATAGACGGAAAGTAATCAGGGACAATCCGACCGAGAATCAAATTGGCATCGGTGACTGTTGCAGGCCCTCCCTTTCGATAACATGCAGGCCCTGGGTGGGATCCTGCACTCTCCGGGCCCACCGCTAAGATGCCCTTTCGCCAGGCGAGAACACTTCCTCCTCCTGCAGCAACAGTATTGATATCAAGTTGAGGAGCCTGGACAGAGATCCCGGCTGTGGTGGTCTCGAATACATGCTCCAACGCTCCTGCGTATCTGGAAACATCTGTTGATGTCCCTCCCATGTCGAAGCCGATGACGGGCGTAGGTCTTTCGGGAATGTAGGACGTCTTCGCATAGCCGATCACACCTCCAGCCGGACCAGACAGCAAAGCCCGGAGTCCCGAAAGCTTCGAAGGATGGACAAGACCGCCATCTGACTGCATAATTCTCCAGTTCACGGTCTCGAGGCTCTTATTTCCAATTCCAGCTTGGAATCCCTCCAAATATGCCTGGATCTCCGGAGTCAGATATGCATCTGTCACCGCCGAGCTTGCGCGAGGCAACATTCTGATTGCCGGCGATAGCTGACTCGATACAGATACTTGCGTGAACCCGATCCTTTTGGCTTCAGCTGCAATCGCCTGCTCGTGGTCGGGGAATGTGTATGAATGTAGGAGGCAGACGGCAATACTGCGGTATCCTTCCGAGTATGCAGCTTGAAGTCCTTCTTGCACTTCTTTCAGGTCGAGCTTCTGGATAACCCGAACCTTCTCTCCCGAAATTCCAACAATTACCTCGTTGTCCTCAGGTGATCTGAGCTCAGTCGTAGCAGTAACATTCTGAGTCTGCTGCGAATTGCTCTCGCTGTCCTTCCGTTTATAGGCAATGGAATCATGTAGCGTCACTCTTTCTGATACTTCA